TCGTCCTTCTATTTGGGCAAGCTCCCTTTGCTGCACGAGCATTTATCCGGCATGAAATGAGGGACACCGCCAAGGAGATCATCAAGGTAACTGTCTTACTGGTTCTCATCCGTGTTGCTGGAACTCTTGTCAGTGTCCTCTTTACCACATGCTGTCTCAATGCACACACATTTAATGCCTAGCTACCCAGGGGGCTTTTTGTCTTCGTCCCTCTCTCTGCAGTGCCCCCTCTCTGACTCCTCCCTTGGCTCCGCCAAGATCCTGCTCCGGCAGTGACCCCTCTCTGACCTCTCTTTTGGCCCTGCCAAGATCCTGCTCCGGCAGTGACCCCTCTCTTGGCTTCGCCAAGATCCTGCTCCGGCAGTGACCCTTCTCTGACCTCTCTCTTGGCCCTGCCAAGATCCTGCTCCGGCAGTGATCCCTCTCTTTACTCAGGGCCCTCGGTCGCCGTCCCTCGGACGCAGACTCTTGTAGATACTTGGCTCCGCCAACATTCTGCTTCGGCAGTGTCTACCCGGCCGACCCTGAATCCTCTCTCGTAGATACTTGGCTCCGCCAACATTCTGCTCCGGCAGTGTCTACGATCTCTTGTCTGACCTCTCTCTTGGCCCTGCCAAGATCCTGCTCCGGCAGTGACCCCTCTCTTTACTCAGGGCCCTCGGTCGCCGTCCCTCGGACGCAGACTCTTGTAGATACTTGGCTCCGCCAACATTCTGCTTCGGCAGTGTCTACCCGGCCGACCCTGAATCCTCTCTCGTAGATACTTGGCTCCGCCAACATTCTGCTCAGGCAGTGTCTACGTATTACTCTTGTCTGACCTCTCTCTTGGCCCTGCCAAGATCCTGCTCCGGCAGTGATCCCTCTCTTTACTCAGGGCCCTCGGTCGCCGTCCCTCGGACGCAGACTCTTGTAGATACTTGGCTCCGCCAACATTCTGCTTCGGCAGTGTCTACCCGGCCGACCCTGAATCCTCTCTCGTAGATACTTGGCTCCGCCAACATTCTGCTCCGGCAGTGTCTACGTATATCTCTTGTCTGACCTCTCTCTTGGCCCTGCCAAGATCCTGCTCCGGCAGTGACCCCTCTCTTTACTCAGGGCCCTCGGTCGCCGTCCCTCGGACGCAGACTCTTGTAGATACTTGGCTCCGCCAACATTCTGCTTCGGCAGTGTCTACCCGGCCGACCCTGAATCCTCTCTCGTAGATACTTGGCTCCGCCAACATTCTGCTCCGGCAGTGTCTACGTATATCTCTTGTCTGACCTCTCGCTTGGCCCTGCCAAGATCCTGCTCCGGCAGTGACCCCTCTCTTTACTTAGGGCCCTCGGTCGCCGTCCCTCGGACGCAGACTCTTGTAGATACGTGGCTCCGCCAACATTCTGCTTCGGCAGTGTCTACCCGGCCGACCCTGAATCCTCTCTCGTAGATAATTGGCTCCGCCAACATTCTGCTTCGGCAGTGTCTACGTATATCTCTTGTCTGACCTCTCTCTTGGCCCTGCCAAGACCCTGCTCCGGCAGTGACCCCTCTCTTTACTCAGGGCCCTCAGTCGCCGTCCCTCGGACGCAGACTCTTGTAGATACTTGGCTCCGCCAACATTCTGCTTCGGCAGTGTCTACCCGGCTGACCCTGAATCCTCTGTCTGTTTGTGTGTTTGTCTGTCTGTCTGTTTTGTGTCTGTTTGTCTGCTTTTCTGTCTGTTTCTGTGTCTATCTGTCTTTCTATTTCCTTGCCTCGTCTCCATATCAACGAGACATGAATCATTGCCACACTCAAGCAGTCGAAGGCTGAACGCTAGCAAGGCTGCTAATGTGACCTGAAACCATGGTCTAGCCAATCACCGCAGCAAAGTTCGTCCTTCTATTTGGGCAAGCTCCCTTTGCTGCACGAGCATTTAGTGGCTACAGCAGGGCAACGTGCACGATTGCCACCGGCAATTCCAAGACGTTCTCGGACACGTTCAGCTCCACCACCATCTCAACTACCCGGTGGCCCACCGTGGCTGGTGGTTACCCGCCAAGATCCTGCTCTGGCAGTGATCCCTCCTGCTCCGGCAGTGACCTCTCTCTGACCTCTCTCTTGGCTCCGCCAAGATCCTGCTCCGGCAGTGTCTATGTCTTTAATCCCGCTCACGGTTGCTTCGGTACGAGGCTTGCTGGCCACAATGGGCCATGCTCATTTCCGGCTACTCAGGGCTCTCGGTCTTCGTCCCTTGGACGTGACTATCCTCTTGGCCCCGCCAAGATCCTGCTCTCTCTGTAGCCTCTCACTTCGCTGGCCAGCACCCTCCTAACCGCAAGCTGCTGTGTGTTGTAGTTAATGTAGCATTATAGTAATAATGCAGATTAATGGGTGCACGCGGCTGCTTCGTGCTACCACTCAAACTATGCTGCTATGAACGTGCGCTGTACGTGCTCACACGGTACTCTATGCAACGTGGCATTCTATGTGTCATACAACGTGACACTCAACGCGACATTCATTCATGTGCGACGCTCAACGT